TTCTAAGAAAAAATAAAAATTAAAAAATAAAACAAAAAAAAAACCCCAAAAAACCCAGCTGAACAATTTATTTAATAGCCCCACCCCCCCCAAAAAAGCATGAGTTATTAAATAATTCTGTATTTTGTAATATTCATACTTCTAGAGAACAATGAGGGGTTTGCAAATCCTTGGCAAATGTCTGATTTTATTAGCACTGGTTTCCTTAACCACAAAAAGCAGCCAATTGCAAATCCTACCTCTGGGATCCTTTTAGATTACATTCATTAACGTATCTTTGAATTGCTAAAAAGGAAAGTGCTTATCAATGTAGAAAAGACCACGATAAGTAATACCCTTCTAAAAAATAATACCCTGTTCTTCTATGTAAAAAGACAACTGCCTGGCCAAACACAAATACTCTGAAATAAGATCAGAACCCTTGCTGTTGCTGATCACACTTCTTCATCTGGTCACCCAAACCCAATAAAACACCACTAAAAACATCAACATAAAAGCCTAAACCTATTGTTAATGTTTTTATTTACTGTTTCTCAGGGCCCTCACACTTGCTGATGCCAAGTGCGAAGGTTGATTCCTGAGTGACGTGTTTGAGAGAGCTTAGTTTAGGTGAAAATAAAATGGCCTTCCACACTTTTCTAGGTTTTAAGGCACAGTGTGTGTAAAAAGGACTCTGTAACAGCAAAAAGGGCTCTTCATATTCCTTTGGACCAACACTCTATCTGTGATTTCCCAGTCATTCAGCAGGCCACATCCCATTGCACTGACGTTCCAGTTCATTGCAGATGAGGTGTGATGTGTAAGTGGTGTAAGAAGTAAGCATTAATTAGAATTAAGTTCCAGTTTCATATTCCATTCCCATTAACTCCCAACTGCTTCTATCATCGTTATCAGTGCTGGAGGGAACACCAAAGAGTTGTTATCTCCTGGGTCACTTTTCGGGAGGTGCTGCCATCATTTTGCCACCTCTTTCACTTGGAACCCATCATAGTCTTCCTCGTTGGCTGGAAGACCTCACCTTGAACATCAAGTGTAGCCATCACTTTAATGCCTTCAGCTTCACAAGAATAGATGCCAGTGTCTTCTGGGACCGTAGGTTTAATTTTTAGCATGCTTACATTCCAGTCCTGATCGATAATCACTCGCTGCCCATCTGCATGTATTTCCTGATCATTTTTCTTCCAGATGGCGTGTACTGGCCTAGAATATTGGCATATGAACTCTGCTGTGCCATCTTCATCAACAGTTATATCCTGCATGGGACTGACCACTTCAATGGTTGGATCTGTTAACCAACACGTCAGGAAGGACATGCGTTAGTAGATCCTCATGGAAATTGCAACTTAAGAGATTTTTTTGAGCAAGCAGAGTGGCCGTGCAAGCAGGAAGCTGGCTGGGCACGCTGGGGATTAGGAGTTTAGTCTGTGCTTGTCTCAGCATCAAGCAGGATTTAAGCAAAAAACCAGTACGTTAGAAAGTAACCATCACGCTGGGCAATGGGCCACCAGCAATTAAGGCTTGTGCTTCAACAGTCCTGAATATGAACTTCTGTGCAGAACAGCTGCTGGAATTCCAAGTTTAGCTTTCCTCCCAGCATTGCTGAGAGGCTCTAGACTAGGAAGCACTGGATATGAAACTCCTGCATCCCAGACTATGGCAGGAGTGCAGGGCTGAGGTTGAGGAGTCTGATGGTGGGGCTTGGTTCCCTCTAACACAACCTCACACAGCAACAGGAAAATGCCACAAACTCTACTGGAGGCTCCTTCTGTGAGGAAACTGCGACTGTTGATTGGACAGAAATGCAATACCCAAATGCAAATACTTGTTCCTGTCCTGTGGTGGTGAGGGCTCCATGTCTGAAGTCACTGGCAGCAACGAGGAGCAAAGCTCCAGGACAACTGTAACACAAAAAGGCCCTTCACAGGAAGCAGATACTTGTTGCTCTGATTAACCACGTGTTCCTCTAGAGCAGAGGCATAATTTTGGAAAAATAAGAGTTTCCTTTACATTTCTGCTTATCAGGAGGCAGCTGTAGAGCACAGCAGATATATCTAATCTCAAAATACTGAGCTTCCAAAGCAGCCAGGGAGTCCCTCCTGAGCCAACAGCCTGGACCACTGTCAGCAATACAAATACACTGAAAAGGAAAATCTCAATAAAGCCTGAAAACAGTGTCTGCAACATCCTGCTCTGCAGAACTATGTCAACTCCCCCCCAAAATTGCTAGGACTACAATGGGACATAAAAAGATGACAAAGAAAGCTGATGCATAAGCTTTTCTTTCAAATAGTTGTTCTGATCACAAGTTTATGGAGAAGAGGCATCAATGGCAGATCACAGAGATGTCTGGGTTACACCAGGACTGAAGAAGCAAGAAGGTATCTGTGCAGCTGGGGAGTGTAATATTGTCTCCTCTGATACAACACAGATGTGCTCCTCACAGCAAATGCCATCTGTGGTCTTGGAGAAGGAAGGTGTCCTGGTTCCACTGCCAGCCTAAGACCTTGGTGGCCCTACTCATCCATGCAGAAGGCAGAAAACTCCTTGGGATTTAGGAGCCCACGTGGAGCCTGTGATTCTCACTGTGCCCAAGGGTGTCAGATGAAGGCAACAGCTCCTTCAGTCTTTTCCATTTCTTTCACCTACCCGTGAAGATGCCATCATGCTGGGCCACTGAATGAATGTAGCTGTAGGGCAATGATACTGCCACGGGCCAACAAGAAAAGCTGTCATGAGGTGTCACTTGTTCCAGAATATACCCTGTTACAAACATGCCTCAGAGCAGGAGAACGGGGCACATGGAACAGAGGAAAAAGCAGCTTGTTCCTTGATGAAGAACAAGCCATGGATACCTCGATAGACTGAAATACAAAGACAGGCCTATTTTTAAATTTCTGGATGAAAAGCACATGAAATTTGTGGTTACTACAAGAACAGTCAGAATTTTGCTGGTGTTTTACTTTCCTCTTCAATCAAGTGTAACTGAGCACAGTGGAGGGCTTTTTAAATACCTTTCTCATCCTCATCCAATCATCATCTCCTACTGTGATTCAGGCTCACAATTAAGAAACCTTGTCTTAATAGAAGCACAAAATATCCACACATGTATGTGTACTGTTGTGAGCTGTGGGGCTGGACCAGATGATCTCCAGAGGTCCTTTCCAACATCAATGATGCTGTGACTCTGAAATGAAAACTTCTCAGCAGGGCTTTATTTGACTGAGTAGAATACATCACAATGCAATTATTTTAAATGTATTTATTGATGGCCCACTGGAGTTCTTTGCCTACAGAGCTCAGAACCAGCCTCTGAAAACGTGAAACTTCAAAACTGAGACAAATGGAGGTGGGATTTATGGGGTTTGCATTCTGTCTTGTTGCTTCACCATTCTGGTGGCTTTTTGGCATTTTATCTTTGCAGAGAGTTACATTTTTTGACTGCACAAGGGACATTTTATATGGAGCAGGAGACAATAACCACTGACTGCAATTCCATGGTGTGGATCAGTCCTCTTGTGGTTGACAGTTATAGCATGGGGGTAGATTTTAATGAAGAACTCTTAACCCTTTATATCTCCATATATAAAATTGCTTGTTCAAGCAAGGAATAATTGTTACTTTTGTCTGAAAAAAAAAAACAGCTTTTTCCCACTGGCTACAAAAGGATTGGATGTGAATGAGCTTGCTGTATCAAGTCTGGAGCTCAGTGTTATTTGCAGCTCATGGCTACCCTTACCAAATGAGGAAAATATTCAATGGAGCAGGAAGTTTTTCTAGTGATGACCATCACTATTCTGGCAGTCAACAAATGAGGATCTTTTTGTCACCGTGTTATCCAAATGTCATACACCCCCTGGTTTCCAGAAAGAGTTCTGGAGTCATCATTATAACATCCCAAAGTCTTGTCTCAGGAACATACTGAGCTCAGCACCAGCAGCCAGGCTGTGGAGCAGCACAGGGGTAATTTTATGAATTTCCAGCTACATAATGCTTTGTGGTCTTATAAAAAAAAAGTTGAAGGAGGGATAAAAAAAAATCAAGTGCTACCACAGTGGTTTGTGTCCAGCTGTACTTAGATACCAGGTGAAGGCACCAGCCTTGACCCTGCAACCCATTCTCACTTGAAACACCCAAAAAAAAATCCATGTGGTACCTCTCTAAGACTTCTGATATGAGGATGGGTGACTTGGAGAAGTGAAGGGTTGCAGGGCACAGCAGAACTGTGAAGGGATTTAGTAAGGGTAGCCTGGAAGGCAGAAGCACCAGCACACTGAGCAAGTCCAGAGGTGGCCACGTGTCTCTTTCTAACAAGGCAATACCTTTGACTAATAATTTAGCTGAAGAGATAAGGGACCCAGCTCTGAAGGTGACAGTGCCCGAGTCGTGGCACGCTACATCGTTTAGGGTTAAGGTGTGGATCATCCCATCCTGCTCAGAGATTTCAGTCACGAGGTTGTTGTGCAGGGGAGATCCATCCAGCCACCACTGCACGTTCCTCACGCCCGGGGGGGAGAGCTGGCAGGTGAAGGTGGCTGACTCGCCCACAAAGACGTCTGTGTTCTTTAAACCAGAAACTATGACTGCTGCTTCTTCTGCGTGACAGAGCAAGAGAAGGTGCCAAAGGAAAACAAAAGCATCAGCACAGAGATCTCGCTTCCTGCAGAATTAGCCCAAGCAACACTGAGAGTTGTCCAGGAAACTTCTAAGGCTGTTCCAGGGGAAAAAAAGAGCTTAAAATGTCTTTAAGGGATTCAGAGACCACCTTCCATCCTTCACCCTCTTGCAAGTACAGTGTCCATGCCTGCAAACACTGTTCATTGGCAGGAGACTGCTCCAGGACCATGACTGGCTCTCCTGGGTGTTGCAACCATCTGCAATGATGTTGTATGAGGCACAGGGGGAGCTTAAAATTTAGAGGTTCACTTATGGTGCTTTGAAAGAGTAATAAGAACATCAACAATTGTAAAAGCTCTATCAGCAGGAGCAAGAATTCCAGTATTTTGTTATGGTCACTGCTCCAAGCAAATAGTTTTCCAGCAGTACCACCATCTGCTGTGGCACAGGGTATGGTCAGTAGTTGGAACTACCTTAACTTGCAAACATTGGTCCAGCCTCAACCTGGATGTGTTTATACCTTCACTGAAATCAGGAAAGAAATGAAAGGACTTTCAACTATTTGCATCCGAGACAAGTTTGGCCAGTCACTGCCAAAAGATTTTGGAATAAGAAATCCAGGCAGCAAAATCAGAGCATTTCCAGCACATTCCATCTTACCTTGGACATAGACGGAACCTGTGGTGATCTCGTACCCCGTGCTGCAGGTATAATCCCCACAGTCATCAGGCTCCACACCATGGATGATCAGCTCAGCAGTCCTGCCTTTCTGCTTCATCTCGTACTTGTCGCTGGGCTGAATGACCACCCCTCCTTTCCTCCACTCCAGAGGGGCATCTGGCTTGGAGATCTCACAGTGCAAGACAGCTGTCCCCCCTTCTTCACACTCCACGTTTTTCAGCTCTTCGTTGAACAGCACAGGCAGTACTAGGGTGGAAAAGCAACTGCCTCACTGACACTGCTCAGAGGGGAGAAAATTGCTTGCAACTTGTCTCATTTAATAGTTCATAGAATGGTTGGGGTTGGAAAGTCACCTGGTCCAACCCCCCTGCAGGGAGCAGGGACATCCCCAGCTAGAGCAGGGTGCTCAGAGCCCAAACCAACCTCCCCTGGGATGGTTCCAGGGATAGGGCAGCGACCACCTCTCTGGGCAGCCTGGGCCAGGGGCTCAGCACCCTCACAGTGAAGAATTTCTTGATAGGATTGCTTTAAACCACACAATCTGAGCAGGAGCTTGTTATGGGGGCTAAACTCGGGATCTTAGCATGATCTTATTGCTATAAAATTAAGAAGATTATAAAATCAGTATATAAAAATAGAAAATTAATTAAACTAGGAAAAAAAAAAAAAAAGTAGCCACTAGAAAAAGAGCCACAAATCTTGGGCTGCTTAGGCTCCATCCAAAATGGGGCTGTTTTAGACATGGTGAATACTCCAGGCTCTTGTTGCCAGGTAGAAGCCAAGTTTTCACACTGCCCTTCTCCACACCTTCCATTGGCAGCAGCTGCAGTTTTGCTCCCAGCTCCCGCAGAGAGATCAAAATTGCAACTGCAGAAATAGAATTGGGTTCAAAAGACACTAAATTCTTCTTGGAAGAACAGATTGCAGGTTAACAGGTTGCCCAGAGAAGTTGGTTGATGCCCCATCCCTGGAAAAATTCCAGGTTAGGTTGGATGGGGCTTTAAGCAACTAGTTGGAGATGTCCCTGCTCACTGCAGGGGGACTAGATGACCTTGAAAGGTCCTTTCTTACCCAAACCATTCTATGATTCTATGATTCAACCCTTTCCTGCAGCTCTAAATCACAGAGATAGCCTTGATAATAATTCAGGGCTAAAAAATCCCATATGGAGAACAGCCCCAGCCAGAACTTCTCTGCCTCCAAACGAGGCTTCTCCTACCTTTGACCTTCAAGGACGCCGTGGTCTGCTGATCCCCCGAGTCACAGGTGTAATCACCAGCATCCTCAGCCTCAGCATCGTAGATGAAGAGCTCAAGGCGTGTCCCCTCTTGGCGGATCTCATACTTGTCCCCTGTCTGCAGGACCTGCTCTCCTTTCCTCCACTCCACGGGCGCCTTGGCTCGGGTCAGCTCGCAGCGCAGCACGGCCGTGCGCCCTTCCTCCACCTCCTCGTTCTTCAGCCAGTGTTTGAAAAGCACGGGCAGGGCTTGAGAGGGGGGAATGGTGAAGCAAAAATAGAAAAAATGGAGCAACGTTCTCTCTTTAAGGTGGTGAGAACACCCTTCATGAAGTTCATGCACAATCCTGGCGGCGCTGACCTAAGGAGTCCTGCCACGGGTGGGGATTTTGCCCAGGGAGGTGGTGGAGTCCCCAGCCCCGGGTGTGTTGAAAAGCTGTGTAGATGTGGTGCTTGGGGATATGGCTTAGAGGAGGATTTGGTAGAGTCTGTTGAAGAGGGTTAATGGGTTGGACTTGATGGTCTTAAAGGTCTTTTCCAACCAAAGTGGTTCTATGAGTCTAGGTCTAGGTCTAGGTTAGAGAACTTTGAAACCAGCAGGAAAAATTTCACTTCTACAGGAGCTGTGTTTCTCTCCCTCTACCCTTTAAGTCTTTTCACAAAGAATTCCCAATTAACTTAAAGAATAATTTCCAAAGGCCAAAGGGTTCTTCATCCCCCAAATAAAACCACAGAACAGGGAAAAAGCTCTCAGAGAATTCAAACCTGCAGACCTGAGGCTGCACCATTTTCATAGAACCATCAGATGGTTTGGGTAGGAAGGGACCTCTGAAAGTCATCTAGTCCAACCCCCCTGCACAGAGACGGG